TATATATAATATATATATATATATATATATATATATACCATTGGAACTTGGATGTTTATTAAACACTCTTCATGTGAATGCATCCAGTTACCTGATAAGTCGATGACAACGTAAATGACTCATACGTCAGAGGATAGCGAAGATTAGGCAATGACAAGGAACCCGGCAAGGGCAAACAAGCAAACAAAATTACAAAAAGACACTTACGTAATCCACTACGCGCTTCGCTTTGTTTAACTATGTGTTTTTGTTTTGCGCAGACAGCAGCAGCAGGCTTTCGTTTAGCGGCTGTCTTCGATCGGCTGCAGGAAATTGGAGCTGCAGAAGCAGAGGCGACGGCTGCTACGATTTTAAATGGACTTGGGTTCGACACGGATATGCAAGTATGCAATCTTATGTTTGTATTTGTTCTCCTTTCCCCTTGATTTTTCCTTTTTCTGTCGTTCATCTACGTGGGTTCCACTTGGTTGTTTTATTTTATTTTGCTTGTCGTTGTTGTTTGCTTATGTTCTGTTTTCATTTGTTCTCTTTTTGCTTGTGCGCGTCTGTTTTGTTTTGCACGTTTGTGCTTGCGCTTGCCCCTGCTTGTCAATGGCCGTTTGTTTGTTTTGTGATTTGGTGCTTATTTGTTTTTTTGTGGGCTTTCTGTTTATTTCACCGCTGTTGGCTGCCCTTCAATTTCCGGTGTGTAGGTGTGTGAACCAAAGGTGGGTACCTATGTATATCGTATTCCTTTTTTTATTTCGCTTTTCCGTTTGTTTGCATAGTTGTCGTTCTTTGCTTCTTTGCTGATTTGTTTGTTGCTTTTATGTCTCTCGTTTCGCTTGACCTTCCCTGTCTTGTGGCACGTAAAGTGGCATGGTAGCTCCCTAATCTGCTGTATTGGAGTAAGCATTTCTCTATTAAGGCACCTCTTTTCTTTTGTGCTTTTTTTGTACAGAAGAAGAAAGTCTCCGCGCTGAGTGGAGGCTGGATTGTGCGAGTTTGTTTGGCTCGAGCGTTGTTTGCCGATGCCGACGTGCTGCTGCTGGACGAACCCACAAATCATTTGGATTTAAAAGCCATTAACTGGTTAACAGCCTACTTAACGGGAGACAGCAAAACACTGGGCGGAGAGAATGCGCTGAGGCTGGCAAAAGATAAGATCGTTATTGTCGTCAGCCACTCCCGAGATTTCCTTAACGATGTGAGAGGACACCCGAACAAATATGCATGGTCTAAGAAATATGCGTTATTGATTACCCTCACTTTACAAAATAGGCAACATAGTGCCTCCATCCATTTGTGTGTTGGCTAGCTGGCGTTTATTCTGCTTCTTGTTTTTATTATGTTTGGTATTTGTGGATTGCGCTACAGTATCTCCGTTTTTGCCTATTTACTTCCTTGGCTTTTTCAGTATGTGTGTGGGTAATCTACGTCGCCTTGCATATGTTTTTTGCTTCATATTTGTATTCTTGTTCTCGTATGAATTCCTTTTGGCGTTGTTGCGTCTCCGCGTTGATTTCGTGCGTTTGCCTTTCGTTTGTTGTTTTCCCTCTTGGTTATTCTGAATATTCCTGATGAATTTTCCTCCAGGTGTGCACTGATATTATCCACTTTACCAATCAAAAGCTAAATTACTACAAAGGCGACTTCGACACTTTCGAAAATGTCCGAGCTGCACAGCAGCTGCAGCAGCAGCGTCAAATCCAATCGGTGGAAATGAAGCAGAAACACATGAAGGCTTTCATAGACAAATTCAGATGCAACGCTAAGCGGTATGCCACTCAGCCTAGGCACCAACACCAGCAGCAAAAACAGCAGCCGCAGCGGCAACAACACGTGTTTTTCTGTATTTTGTTCGCATGTTTGTTTTGCAATGTTTTGAGGTCTCAATTATGTGGTGTTTCTAGCTTCTAGTGGGTGGCTTCAGACTGCTCGCTCTGCATGCATTTCGTTTCTTGTTTATGCCGCCAGTCATTTCCTTTCCAGTGCAAGCTGCTGTATGTGTCTCTCCCTCTGCATATATAAGCATATGATTGGCACAGCTTATGAGGATGAGACGCTTACTTCTGCTTTGTCCTCACAGGGCCTCTCTGGTGCAGTCTCGCATAAAGGCTTTATCACGCTTGCCAATGCTGGAACAAGTAGCAGAAGATCCGTCTTTGCGATTCAAATTAAAGGAGCCAGAGCAGCTGTCGCCTCCTCTGCTGCAGCTGATCGACGTCACGTTTAAGTACAAACGGCGGAGCGACAAGGAGCTAGACGCAGCAGAGACTCAAGGCAATAACGACACGACCAGTGATAATAATACTCTTGCAAACAAGCTAGTAGAAAGCGAAAACAACAACGCACAAACAAAAACGCAAAAGGCAAACGATACTGGTGCCGGCGATCTTCTCATCGTCCAAGACTGCAACTTGAACATCGATATGGAGTCGCGTATTGCAGTAAAAACACCACAAGACAATACGAAACAAATAATAACACAAATAAGCAAACGCAAAACTGCGCTCAAAGAAACACAACGCAATAGTACAACACAGGAGCAAAAACATGAGCAAACCCCAATACAACATGCAAATCACAGCGCAGTTTGACACAGTGCAAAACGTTTAAACCACAATAAAACATCACACAACACACGAACACAATAATACAACGCAGCACAACGACAAGTAAAATTCGACATTGCATGTAGTGATGCAGCACAACACTATGACGACACAGCACAACACAAGACAGTGCAACACAACGCCAACATTATCGCCATCATCATCTTCTTCTTTCTCTTTTCTTAGCCATTGCAACTAAACGCTGTCCGCTGCCAGTCATCCCTGGCGAACCACCTAGCACGCATATACACACTCAAACAAGTACCCATCCAATCTAGCAACCCAACAACCGAAACAACCGACAAACAGCCCATGAAATTTGGCAGTGTTTGTTTGCTTGCAGATATGTGGGCTGAACGGCAGCGGCAAAAGTACTTTGTTGAAGTTGTTGGTAGGCCAAAACGAATGCTGCGGCGGCCAAATCCACCGCAGCGGGAAACTTCGGATTGGATACTTTACGCAGCAGCACATCGACCAGCTCGATTTGACTCTCAACGCTGTTCAGAGCCTCCAGATCAGGTAAAGAGTAACGCAAACACCAACAGCACCCAACAGGAAAGAGAATTTAGCAGTAGGCAGGTTTGTTGGGATTTAACTCGCCCCTCTGCTGTTTTTGCTGCGTTTTTTTATGTGTTTGTATTGGTCGTGTCTTGAGCGAAAGAAGGACGTGGTGAAGGAGCTATGCGAAGCAAACCGTTTCGCCTGTGTCTGGCAAAACATTTCTGTTTTTGCTGTTTGTGCGGTTGCTCCAGCAGCGCTTCCACCGTGCACACTCTCTTTCTCACTTGCGTTTTTGTCTTTGTGTTGTGCATCCGTTTGTTTGTTCGTTTCAGGTATCCTGAGGCAAATCTCTCTGATGAGAACGCAAGAACGTATTTAGGACAATTTGGTATTAGCAATATGCTGGCATTGGAGCCGCTTTACATCCTCTCGGGAGGCCAGAAGAGCCGCGTTGCAATAGCCCTCATGGCTTTCAATAACCCACATATTCTTGTAAGACTCCGAAGAAGCACAATGAGTTCCAGTGAAAACAAACATCTGGTTTAAGGCTTTTAACATGGTGTCCTTCCCTTGTGCTACATTGTGCCTCCCCTTCATCAACAAATGATTGCATGGGCTTGCCTGCGTTGATTTGCGTGTATCTGCAAGGAAACGCGCTAAGCGTATGATGTATCTAGATATATTTGTAAGAATAGACATACCTATTTGTTTATAATGAGTTGAGTTGTCGTCGTCCGTGGAGTTGTTCAATGTTGTGTTGTTGAATTGTGTACAAAATGCCCAAACACTGGCACCCGTTTACCGTCCGATGAAGAAACAGACACCTCGCCGTATTTCTTGTTGTTCCATTTTCTCCCAAGTAATCAAAGCCCCGCCCTGGCAGGCGGAGTTTGTGAGGCGGGCGTGACGTTGACGCGGTTCAGCAGATGCTCGCAGTTTGTGGAGGGAGTGTTGTTTTGGCATTTCTTCATTACGACGTATTATGTGCTTTTGCGTTATGTCGATTCGTTGGTATGCGCCTGAATGCATCAGATGACCCAGTGGCACGTCGACTCGCAAGGAGTAGCAGCAGCAGCAACATAAACAACTTCTGCAGCTGCAACAACGTGGAGCCACCCTGATCTTTTCGGTGTTTCTGTTACATTTGCAGCTTCTTGATGAACCCACAAACCACTTGGACTTAGATGCCGTCCAGGTGCGTCTTCTATTGCCCATCTCCCCGTCAGATGCTCCCTCGCGTGTATGCAGCTAGCAGCGTGGCGGCTAGCTAGCTGTAGCGCCGAGCCGTGGAGCTCTGTTGTCGCGGCAGGCTGTTGTGCGTGTTGGCTATGCGGCTAGCCTATGCTAGAAAGGAGGTTAGCGAGAAATGCGGGGCATTCCGTGTGCGTGTTTTCCATTGCATCTGCATGCAACAAGCGTGGCTGCTTTGCGTGTGGGGTTGTTTCAGGCACTGATTGCTGCCCTCAACGAATACGCGGGTGGGGTTGTGGTGGTGAGCCACGATAGCCACCTGCTCTCTTGCGTTGCAGATGAAATCTACACATTAGACAAACAGACAAAGAGGCTTCTGAAGTTCCATGGCGATTTTATGGAATACAGAAAACAGTTGCTGAGAAATGTCGTTCATTAAACCCTGGGGAAATGTCCGTTATTGTTTAGCTCTACGAATCTACCTCCACACAAATTTTGTTGGGATGTATATCATGGTAGAGAACTGCCAAAAGATGTTGAACAACCAAGGAAACAAGCCAATAAGAAACAATGGAGTTTTAACAACCAGTGCGAAACAACACTACTGTCGGGAGACGAGGAGCACAAGGAAATGGGTCGTCGGGTTCTTATTCAATTGGGGTGGCCATAATGGAAGTGTTTTCTTGTTGCTGCTAAGTGGTGCCCTTAAGATTTATCGAACCCTCTTTTCTGAGACATTTGAGGAGACTACTCATTTATCTCTCTTTTTAAACTTTTAAGAAGGTATTGGATGAAATTATTGAAGGCACAGAGGCAAGAGAAACTCATGGAGCTACCGCCAGGCACATTGCAAACGGTGCACCAACGCTGCTTACGTATTAATGCCATTTGATTCGTGCTTCCTTCTGGGGTGTATGCGCTCTAGTATTCAAAAACTGGGAATGAGAACGAAAAGGAGAAAGGCTCTTAATCGTGCTGCGTGCTGATTCAGGAACGACAGAGGGGGAGCACTGAGAAGACAAGCATTCTACTGCGTTCCGCTAGAACTTATTCTTAGATATGAGCAGTTAAAAGTATAGTATTTTGCCTCCTTATTGAGTTTCTACTCGGGAACTGCTTGGTCTACTGCGGGAGGGCCGCTCCAGTACTTAATCAACAGTTAGCTGGTGGCCGTGCATGCATCGAGGGGAGGCTGGTTGTCCTCTTGCTTGCAAACAGGGTGAAACTGCCTCGGAGCAACAGTTGCAGCAGTATACACGGTGCTGCGGCTGATGTGTTCGATTGTGCCGTTCCACGCAAGCAACAGCCGGCCTCATGCCGCTGTGGGCAGCGACGGGGGAGGGAGTAGTAAATGCGTTCAATTAATTATACTATTGATTATGTTGTGCCTTTACTATAGGTCACAAGTACACGGGTAGGGCGGCTTTCGTCGAGTATAAGCAGCACACAAACTAGGGGGAATGCCGCCCTAATATGCATATTTCGGTTAAAATACAGCTCTCCTATTAAAATTATTGCAAATTAACATGAAATCAAAGAAATACAAGACGACTTGCAACAGTTCACAAGCCGCGTTCTGTGGCAGTGCGCCCTGAGTATGTATAAAACGTCCGCTCAGTCAGTGCATTTCACATGAACTAGCGCTGTAATAAATACACAAGGGGAAGAATAAGGTATTGGAAACTGGACATTTTTAAACCTACTTGTCAAAACTTGTATTTCTGAAGTGTTTTAAACTGTCTGGTCACCCAGGGCGTTGCAGCGCTGCGGCGGCTAACTGCGAGGGAGGCAGACGGAGCTTCAGGTTTGTTTATTCATCGTTTCCTTTCTTTTGTCTTGAAAACGCCGTTAAATTAAATTGAGCTTATCCGCAAAGCCCTTAGGAGAAGTGTGAAATTACAGGAAGTTGAGCATACATGGGCATCTTCCTCTTCTTTGGAAATCAAACGCCAGTAGCTGCTGCTGCTGAGCTGTGAATTGTGGGGGCTTCTCTCCAGCCCCAATTGCCTCTTCTTTCTGGTTTTTCTTCCGCTTTTCTCCAGTGCATGCAGCGGTTTCTGCAGCTGTCTTAACCCTCCTTGAGTCCTCCGGGCTGGCCGGCAGGGAGTTCGATTTCCACTCCTGCGGCCTCCTCATAACTTACAAGCAGCAACAAGCTTTTGTTGGCGCTCTAAAAGTGTTTTCTTCTTCTTGCCGCCCTCTTATGTTCCCTCTTAACTGCTAGCCCTCTCTCCGTTACTCCTCTTGTGCCCTCTCCAGCAGCAGCCGTAAATTTATCTGCTCAAGCCGCAGCGTCATGACAACGCTTAAGCAGCGCTTTATACAGACACCCCGTCACCAGTGAAGTGTACACACAGACGCCGCAGCATCCATCGTCGGCACATAATTAGCATACCCAGGGGGAAAAGCATAAGAAGACTACGGGGACTCGACGAGCGTACAAAAAAGCAGCAGATGCTCCAGGCTGTAGCGGCCACCAGGCTGTTAGCCAGGCTGTAACAGCCAGACGGAAAAAACTGGGCATGCAACGTGCCCAGAGCATCAGCAGCAGCAATAGGGAAGCAGGAGCAGCATCAATCAAGAATAAGTAGAAGCAGCAGCAACAAACACTGACGGTGGAGCACACTGAAGCAACTCTACACTGTGGGTACTCTGAAGGCCGTCACACCCTACTGCGTGGCACCCACCTGCCGCTGCTACTGCTGCTTCTTCTGCCTCTGCCTCTGCCGGGGGCCCCCTGGCTGGGGCCTCATGCAGTCGCACACAGACTGTGGAGAAGTCAATAGAGACGATACCAGGGCCGTTTTGGCCCCCTTTCCCCAGCCTCTGCCTTCGCATCTCTGCCCCACGCCGCAGCAGCAGCAACAGCAACTGTTGCTGCTGCTGCAGCAGCAACAGCAGCAGCAGCTCGTCTCATGCGGCCCTCCTTTTAGGGGCGCTCCGTTTGCCGTCCCTCAACCTGCGGCACCGGCGCTTCCCATACAACTGCAGCAACAACAACTACATCATCAGTTGCAGCACCAGTTGCAACAGCAACAAGTGCAGCAGCCGGTACACCATTTGCAGCAGCAGCAACTGCAGCAGCGGCTGCAGCCTTCATTTCAGCAGCCACTGCAACAGCAGCTGCAACTGCAGCAGCCGTTGCAAGAACCAGGGCAGCAGCATTTGCAACTGCAACAACCATTGCAGCAACAGCTGCAACTGCAGCAACCGGTTCAGCAGCTGCTGCAACTACACCAGCCACTTCAACAGCAGCTGCAACTGCAGTCGCCATTGCAGCAACCGGTTCAGCAGCAGCTGCAACTGCACCAGCCATTGCAGCAGCCATTGCAGCAACCACTCCAACAGCCACTGCAACTGCCACTGCACCAGCCACTCCAACAGCAGCTGCAACTGCAGCAGCAACAACAGCCCCAGAAGCTTCAGCAACAGCCTCTGCACCACGAGGAACGCCTGCAGCAGCAGCAATCCCAGCACCGTCAGCTTCAGCAGCAGACATTGCAGCAGCAAGCATTGCAGCAGCCTCTGCAGCAGCAGCAACGATTGCAGCATCAGCAACTGCAGCAGCAACAACTGCAGCAGCAACAACTGCAGCAGCAACCCCAGAGCCTGATTCCGCTGCCGACTGTGCCGCCCATCTCTACTTCTCGATGCGAGGCCCACACAGTATGTCAGGGGCCCTCAACTCCCGAGGCGGGGGGCCCTGGGGCCCTTCCAGGGGCGACTACACAGGTGGGAAGAGCAGCCTCTGCTGCAGCCTTCTCGTCTACTGGAGAACTGACAGCTGCCGTTGAACCATGCAGCAGCAGAAGCAGAAGCAGAAGCAGCGACGGCACCGACAGCAGCAGCAGCAGCGTCTCCTTGCCAGAATCAGCCCCGCAGGGCCGCCAGATATCAGAGGAGCCGGCAGCACCGTCGAACTCCTTTGGCAAGATCCCAGCATCGGCAGCCGTTGCTGCTGCTGCTGCTTCTATACCCGCTGCAGCAGCAACTGAGGGAGGCCACCTCCCCAGTGTGAAACCCGAACACTGCAGAATGGCTGAGGGCCCTCGTGCTCTTGGGGACCCTCCTGCCTCCACCCCAACACAGCAGCAGCAGCAGCAGCAGCAGCAGCAGCAGCAGCAGCAGCAGCACAGGCAGTCGCTGTTGCAGCAGTTGCATCAGAACGAGCAGATGCAGCAACAAATTCTGCGGAATCTACAGCAGCAGCAGCAGCAGCAGCAGCGCTGGAGACATCTTCTGGAAGCCTGTCAGGGGGGGGATGCAGCGGCTGTAGGGACCCCCTTTCCCCTCTCCACTCCAGCGATCTCATCTTTGCTTCCTGCTACCCCAACGCAGCAGCAGCAGTTTCCTGCGCAGCAAGGATGCTTGCACGAGACAGCTGCAGCACGAGACGCAGTACGGGCTCCGTGGGTTCCCCCGTACACCTGCACTCTGCAGGCTGCTGCTCCCGCCGGCATTTCGGGTGTATGGACCCCCGATGGGGGCGCCACGGATCTGTGTGGTGCATCTTTGCCTCTTTGTCAGCTACCCCAGGCGGGGCGGCGCCCTATAGGGTCCCAACCAGCAGCAGAAGCCACTGTTGCTACTGCTGTAACAGAAGGAGCGGCAGGAGCGACAGCAGCGGCAGCCACAGGAACAGAAGGTGAAGAGAGTGCAGCTGCTTCGATGGGCGGAGGCGAAGGGCCCCATGTGGGCCCTTCTGTTGCTGTTCCGTCGCAGTTCACTAAAGCGGGGTCTCGCCGGCGCGGTGGTCGGCGCGTCTGTGCCCGTCGGGGGGGCCCTCTGCTGTACCCCAAGGGGGGTAGGGGGGCTTCCCCTGTGCTTGACGGGAAAGGTGCCGTTCCTTTTACCGGCAGCCGCAGCCCGCCTGTTGCTCGTGGTGCTGCATGCGCTGTGTTGGGCTTTGGGGCCTCCATGCCGCAGCAGCAACAGCTCACAAAAGTAGGGGCGAATCGGTCTCAGCTGCGGCTTGCAGTTGTTTGTATGTTTGAGGTTCCTTCCTCTTAGCTTAGTTGCACATTTGACATTGAAACATATCTGGATGTCAGGCCTGCTGCAGCTAGAGTTACACCGGCTGTTGCTACTTCCGTTGTTGCTGCATGTGTGTATGTACGTATGTATGTGTGTATGAATGCATATGTGCATGTGTCTATGTATGTATGTATGTATGTATGTATGTATTTATGTATGTATGTATGTATGTATGTGTGTGTGTGTGTGTGTGTGTGTGTGTGTGTGTGTGTGCGTTATGTGTGCCCTTCAGACGGCATCTGTTGGGTTAGTGAACTTGGGAGGGGGGAGTTGTTTCTTAAACGTTGTGTTGCAGTATCTGGCACATGTGCAGCCTTTGCGGGATTTCTATCTCAACTACGGTACGAAATGCAGCAGAAAAAAGAAGCAGATATATAAATAGAAGGCGTGGACAAAAGAATTCGCCTTGCAGAGGAACAAGAAAGTGGTCACAAGGCGCATCAACGTGCAGCCAACGTGGCACGAGTAGCAGCTCATATTGTTTAAGAAATATTCCATATCATTTCTTTTCGTTGTTTTGTGGTGTATGTACAGCCACAATGCTACCGCCGTCCGACCTGCTGGGACGGCAATACGAGGCTTATACGACTTACCTCGGTAAATACCGTACGGTGGCATGCATGTGTGGATAATTAGCATAATTGGATAGAACGGAATTACCATTTCCGTGCTTTGCTGGAATATTGTACAGGCTTACTTAGTGTGGGCAAACTACAAAATGTCCAGAGAGTCTCTACAAGCCGGGGCTCCCACAATATACGCATATGCTTCGATTTAGCTGGATTTTTTTCCGCTGTTGCAGAGGCGTCACGGCAGCATGTCAAGCGACTCAAGCGGGGTCCCCACCATCTCATCCACACGGTCACGTACACCACCTCTGTCACATGGGAACTGGCGGTAGTTATAAAGTGCGTCTCTGGAGACAGGCGGTTTTGGGTATATAAGATTCCACAAAGGGCTGCACAATCTACGTGTCTGTACACCTCGTAATGTGGGGGCGGTTTGGCGGGCGCGGAGGCTGAGATTCCTTGCAGTGGGCGCTCTAGGGCTTGGGGTTTAGGGCTTAGGGTTCCTTCGTTGCTTTGCGTCCGCTTCCAGTCACATGTGGAGGTCCCCCAGCACAGTTCGTTTCATAAAGCCGGAGGCGCTGTACCAAGTGTGCTGCAGAATTATGCCTGACTTCGGTACGTCAACCCCATGCATGCATATATGCATAGACGCGTGAATGCGTCAGCTTTTGGGGCTTTTTGACGTCTTGTACTTGAGTCTATCAGCAGTTGGTGGGCCACCGTGTGCATGCATGCCTCGTCTGGCTCTCTTGACCGTCTGGTGCTATGCAAATATAAGTGTAAGCAATTATGAAGTATGCAAGTGGCGTATTGTATAGAGTAGATTGTGTGTATGCGCACGCAGACCCTCGGGAGATGCAAGATAGCGACGAGTTTTTGCGTCTCTTGTTGGATTTTCTTGATGGCGAGCTGCGCGCGGTGGCCACCGGCATTCCCCTTCAAAAGGCGCTGATGTTACAGGCAATGCCGCGTCGTTTAGACACTCATCCATCCGGTTGCATCTCAGGGGCCCCCTCAAGTCCCAGCTCTTGGGGCCTTCCAACTGAAGGAGCAGGAGCAGCAAGTTTCTTGGGGAGCACTAGGCAGCCGGAGCAGCAAATAGTTTCTGCAGAGGGGAGTGACGCAGGAACCCCAGGCGCTCTACTGCAGGTGTACCGACGCTCGCACGAAGAAGCACCGCAACAGGACTGGGGAGACGCGAGACTTGCGCCAGTAGGGGCAACGGCCAGAGAAGGTGAAGGAAGAGAGGATTTGCCTGGGTGTGGGGACTTGCCGACTCTGTTTTCTGTCTTCTTTGAAGGTGAGACCGTCGTTGCTTGCGGTGTCTGTACCGTGGAGAGCAGCTGATTTTCAGACAAACCATGGAGGTGGTTTTTTTTTAATGCGTGGAGCCGATAATCACTTCTTTTGAGGTTGTACGGATTCGGTGCAGGCGCAGAAGTTGACAAAGTCCGCTGTACCAAATGCGGCAGGTGTACATCCACCTTGGTGCCCTTCAAAAGTTTGGCCGTCGCGATGACAAAAGAGGCTCAAGAGGAGTCTTGTTATCATGCAAGTCTGTGCTGGCTACCCTGAGACTGCACAAAATCCACCTACGCTCAAAACCCTAAACCCTAGGCCTCATACACAGCCAGGCCTCCTACACAGATCAAGGGGTTTGGGGTTTAGTGATTGCTAGGGTTTGAGTTGTAGGTTTATCGCTAGTGTTTAGTGTTTAATGCTTTGGATGTTGAGGCGGGGGCTTCTGGACAACTTCAGTCTCTTCGGGTCCGGGGTTTAGGGGTTAAGGCCTCAAGCGTCCGGTTTTGAGGTGTTTATGGAGGTGAGCATTTGTCCTGCGGCGTTTGCCTGGGTGTGCCCGAAGGCCTGAGACTGAAGCCCTCTTCGTTTTTGAATTTGTTGTCGCCAGTAGATCTCGTGGAGTGTCTAGATAGACACTTCGCCGAAGACTGCGAGTCTCTGAAACTCTCCTCGGGCGAAGGGTAAGCCGTATGTTGCATGCAGCTCCGGTGTGTAAATGCTGCATGCGGCTGCTATTTCTTAAGATTGGCTGTTTGGTGTTTCAGAAGCTGCTGTAGGGTTTAGGGCTTAGGGGTGGTTTGGGGTTTAAGGCTTATCACTGGCAGAGTCTACGGTGTACGATCGTCTTGCGTCCAGTGACTAGAGCTTGAAGGTGGGGTTTATCATGCGGGATTTAGTGTGCGGGACTAAGGTTCTGCGTGTGGATTTAGGTATTTCTGCGAGCACTGCAACTCTAAGCAAGATGCCATAAAGAGCTGTTCGCTGGTGGAGGGGCATTTACCTTTTGTGCTGTGTTTGACGCTGAAGCGATTTGTGAGGGGGAAGCAAACCTACAAGGTACTGCAACATTTATACACTTGGCTTGGTGTGCTGTGGTCCAGTTCATGAAAGGTTGGCATCCCTCAACTCTGTAGTATATAAGCATAATGATGCCCGATGCTCTAGGATGCACGATTTAGGGCTTAGTACATGCATGTATGCGTTCACAGATTTGGAACCCCGTAAACTTCGGCGATTACCTTGACCTGTCCAGCTACGTCGAGGGCAGAGATAGTGCTTCTACTGCTGCTGCTGCACCGGCTGTAAGTGCAGCTCCGGTGAAACGGGGCACCTCGTCGCCTTTCATTCAACCCTCTGAGGAGGTGCGTATATTGAAGTGCACGTACACATCAACGGTCGGGGAAGGCGCTCTTGGGCCTATTGAGGCCTCCACCGCAGTGGAGGCATCAGAATGTGAAAAGGAAGCAGAAGGACAGGACCTACACAAGAGCCAAAAGCAACCGGTTGTGGCTGAACGCAGCGAGGTGGCACAGGCATCTGATTCTTCACCTGTTTGCGTCGCAAACGGTTCGGAAGCTGACGGGGTCTCCGCAGCAAAAGCAGAGCATTCACAGCCCAGATCTGTTCGACCAGGAAGTACTCCTCATAAAGGTCGCGTCTCGGGCTACGGGTATACATTGGCTGCGCTGGTGGAGCACGAGGGCCCAGCAACTGAACAGGGGCACTATGTCTGTTACGTAAAGCACATTGACTCAGACTGTTGGTTCAGGGCGGACGACAAAGTGGTGGAGCCTGTAGACCTGCAAAGGGTCCTAGCAGCCTCCCCATACATCCTCTTTTATCAGCGTCTCCCAGGAGAAGTAACGGCGCAAACAGCGGGTGCAGAGAAGCTGGAGACAGAAGAAGGCAGCAAGTTGACAACTCAGGGGGAGACACTGGCCAGGGAGGCAAATAAGGAAGCATGGAGTGCAGCAAATACACATGAGACGGGGGCTAGGAGACACCCGAATAAAGCAACAGATGCAGATACAGATAATATTGTACAGCCACCTCCCTTCATCAGAGGGTGTGCGGATCTGAACCAACAGCTGGCTGTTGCTAGAAGCCTCAGTAGGGGCGAGTGGCCCCAGTGGCAACATATCATCTGCCAGAAGTTTAAATCCGCAAATGCAGCCAGCCGCAGTCATACAGGTGAGTTCATCACCAAGGCTTTGGTACATACAGCACAAATCCTACCTGTCTAGTTTAAAACGTTCTTAATTCGTAAATAAACCCGATGTTGATGTTAGGTCGCCGCCATGGTGTCTGCAACTCCATGCATGCATGCACGTTGTGCGTCTTTGTATTTATATTTACTTTGTGCGTTTCCCTTCTGCAGGTGTCAGGCCCGAGGCCACAGGGTTTCAAATGAACCCGGCTGCCGCCTCGTGAGCGTCATGTTCTTGAGTTTTAAGTGGAAGAAAGTAGTGAACTAAAAAAGAAGCGTGAAATAAATCCAGTGAAATATATTTTTTAAACGGTCATCTGCAGCGGAATTCGACACGCCGCGTAGCAGCCGGAATAAGGCGTTCTTGTAGCAACTTCCTGTCTGCTTTCTGTTCTTGTTGATGCTTTTGTTTGTTTTCTCAAGGGGAAGTTCCCCCCTATCCGCGATTCATTATACAACTCCCGCGAGTCTGCGGCCCTCTGTAATTTAGTGTTTATTGCGGCTCAATCCACACTTGCAGTTAGTACTGCCTTCGTGGCGCTAACACACGACTGAGATGGACTGTCGTTGAATAACAGTTCTAGCAGCTCTTGTACTGCTGGTGTCGGTAGAAGAGTCACGTTGCATGCAGTTTTCAATACTGTAGGTTTTCCAAAGCCGTCAGTTAGTTGAGCTTCATCGGCAAGAACGACCAACACAGGAGACATAAGTTTCCCTCTCCGTGCCAGATGCCCGGTGTTGTTTGGCAGCAGGACCTGCGAGTTGGCAGTTAGTGTTTGCTTGCTGTGTGGTGTTCTGCCCTCTACGATGCTACAGTGTTATACAGCTAGACGTGAGCGTCGTGCAGCTGTCTCCGGTTATGGTGATGAGGAGTGCATTCACAGAGTCCCGAGGTGGTAAAAACAAATAAACTAAGGTGTGTTTGAGGGGGGCGATCAATCACCTTGGCGCTTTCCGCTTCAGCTTATTTGCCGAGACCTACACGAGAACTTCCGCCTAACGCTTGGCCGAGCAGCTACGCCGAGAGTGTCTCTTGAGTGCAAATGCAGAGAAGGGGGAACTGCCTTGTGACTTTCTTCCCCTTGACTGCTGTCGTGCGGCAGCCTCGGTATTTTAGAACGTCGCGTGTGCTGGTGGTACCCAAGGAGGTTAACACAACTCTGTATTGCATGTTCCCAAATGTTTTGTTGAATTCGCTAGAAGGATCAAATGTCGCCCTAGGAGGGGCATGGGTTCGGTGAAAAATCTTCTGGGAGGTATGAAGTGCTGCTCTCGGTGAAACGAGCTGACCTATTGGCAAAAAGTTTCCCATTTTTCTTTCTGAACGCTTGCAGATATCTAAGATGCAATTAGAAATTTCTTGACTCCCTATCACTTCAACTATTGTTTCTTATTGTTTCTTCCCCACGTTAGCTCTCGCCTGCAGCCCTTTGCTTTCTCCGTCTGGTGCCTCACGTCGCGACGCATGACGGACAATGGCGCATGTCCTGAAATGGAAGTCAAAGTCGAATATTGAAGCTTTCAAATGGTTTTGAGTTTTGGATTTGATGTTTGGAATTCAATAATCAGCTCCCTCTTCTCTCGCTACAAACACGCCTCTGGAGCCTTAGCGCAACGAGCGAGCACCACGAGTTTGGCTTTCTGCGGCAAGCGCCTGAAAAGATCCCTGTGTTGAGTTCCCCAGGCTAAATATTTCCACTGTTCGCGTTTTGTTTATTCTACTTGCTTCAGCAAAATGCTGGTTGAGCACGTGAGCCGGCTGGCACTGCCTAGTGGAGCTAAACCGAAATGCGAGTTGTGCGCCCAGCCAGCCGAATTCAAATGCAAAAGATGCCCTGGTTGGTTCTGGTGAGACGGCGAAGTTTCTTTAAGATCAAGACAAAGTGTTGGGGGGGAAATGTGTTTTCCGCACGTTTTCCGCCGCCTCTCACCCGTAGTCGAGCAACTTGGGATCGGAGGTCACCAGCCATTATCGGTGCATTCCAGCAAAACATAAACGGAACTTATACGCTCATAGTGCTCTCATTGGGTCATACAAATATAATTAATGAGGCAGGTTTCCCTAGAGGCAAGGCGCCTATGTTTGCAGCTCAGATATGCGCTGGTTGCCCTCAGTTCTTTGCGCCATTTTAAAGTAGCATGGGAGGGGGTACTGCACTTAATTCATCGCGAGTTGAAAATCCTTGAGGAAAGCCCGACTTTTATGGGCTCGGAAAGAGAAAGGCAGGAGTTCAAAAAAAGAAGGAAGCAAATAGCCGTAAGCAGCCCTTGACTTAATCCGCTGCCGTGCAGCTCGATGGCCATCCCTGGCTCCCTATGAATAAATAAAATGATTTAAGTTACAGTGCTTCCGGTATAGTCTTCCACGGTTTTTTCGCAGACTGTTGTCTTAGAGACGAGCACAGGGGCAGCTCAAACGTGGGTCGTGCAGGGGAACTTCACCCTGGCAGTCGCTGGGGCCCTCTACGCCGCCAGGACAGCCGAAATGCTCTTCGGCACCGACTCTTTAGAAGTAGTTCATCCGCAGCTCCTCCTTGCACAGATTTATTTGGGTACTATTGAGCCAAAGTTAGGCAGCCTGCAAAATATCCGCTAGCTAGACAGCTAGGCTACCGATTGCAACTGTATGCGCCCATAGCAGCCAACTACCGAATTGGTTGAAATGCTACCTTCTTCTATTAGCAAAGACTATTTGATTCTGCAGAACAGCAACGTTCCAAGGCATCTTGGAGGGGTCCTTTTGCATGTGTTTGCGTTTTTTAGGGCTTAATCAACTGCATTCAGCAGAAGAGCTGTTGAACATGGTAACCCTGTGCGCTCCAACAAAGGCTCCTCCTGTTGTTACGCAGCCTTCGGGAAGAACAAGCTAAATCGGCCTCCGCTTATCTGTGGATACACAGGCACAACGAGGAATCGCAAAGCACCCAGAGGCCGGCCGCTATGCTCGTTGTAGCCTCTACAGAAACTTCGGTCGACTGTACGCCTGCCAGAATAAATACGACGAGGCTCTCCGCGCTTGTGCGATGGATGTAAGGACACCAAAGGTCCAATACCAATAAAGCCCTGTTGTACCAAGGCATTCTTCACAGGAGGACTTTAATGCAAGAAGTTAATCTCCTTTATTTCGGGTTCAAAAGTCTTGAGTTTGCAGGCGATTTCGTCTTTTCATACAACCGTTTCGCTGTGCAGGTGTACTGCGCCGCCTGCGAGTTCGGACCCACGAGCTTTCGGATGGTGCCGGCTTTCTTTAGCATGGTGAGATTTTCTATTCCGGGTGGATCGCTGAGTTCCTTGGTGGTGTCATTGTAGTTGCGCCAAGTGCATGTAGCCTGAAACAGAATTGCATACATTGCGGCCCGGCCTTAAGTAGGAGACGCCAGCTAGCTCGGTTAGAAGCGCGTTTCAGAGTAGATAGACAAGACAATGTAAACCACATGGTTCCCGAATGGTAATACGTGTGTCCAGGCAGAAGTGTTCAGGAAGTGCGGCCACCCAGATTCCCACACTGCATGCAAAGCGATGTACACAAAAGTGTGCGATATAATAATAAGATGGTTCGAGCAGAACGCGGACATGACCCCAAACGCAGAGGGGACAGCCTCGCCTAAATCAACTGCATCGGGAGAAAACTGCAAAGAAGGTTTTGCCAAGTGTACGTAAGTTCACCACATGGCAGCACACAGTAATGAGTGTATATCCCCCTGCGGCAGGCAAAATGGGCTGCGTTTGTTTCTTCGCTTCTCTTCGGGGAATGCAGCTCGACTGGAGATGCAAGAAGCCACGGAAACCGTGCGGCAAATTATTGAACACTCCAAAAGCAGCCCTACGGAGTCCTCCGAGCTGCAGAGTAAGCACAGATAAAATTAGTCGTGAACTATCTGGAGCCAATACAGCGAAAACAGTACGCAGAATGGAGCAAGGGGACGCTCAACTCTACCGTTTCTGCAGCATTCTGCTCAGGTATGGCCCTTTGTGCAATGGGTCTAATTCACGCACAGACAGACGACCTTGAATTGGCCAAAACGTATATTCAACAGGTGAGAATTACACATCCAGAAGGGGTTTGCTTGTGAGGCAGGTTCAGCTTGTCCACTCGCGGGGTGTATGAGCAGCCATAAGTAACACTTAAAAGCTACAAGCAGACAATGTTAACAGGCCGTTTAGCAAGGGTTTCGAGATTTTGCCTGTAGGCGAAGCAATTGTGCAACGCTGAGACGGGTAGGAACTGCAGACTGTACAAGAAGTGCGAAATGTTTGAAAACGTGATCAGCAGCATGCAGATGAAAGCTCTCAAAGACGATAACCAAAAGTCAGAATGAAAACGCCGGGAGTAAAAAATAACACTTGCACCTGTTACCAGCAAGAACACCTTCGCCTGCTCACAGGCAACGGGAAAACGAGCTGTCAGAATACCATTTGGGCTAAAACACCTGAAAACTGAAAGCGTTCTTTGATAGGCAATGAGCCCTGTTGAATGCGTTTCAACAAACTCCCCCCTGTAGCCATATACCTTGGGTGTGCATACACCCCTTGGATATACTGCATGCGTGAGAATTGAATAGCTCCAAAACGGAGGAATTGTTTAAGACCCCATGAACATTTTGATATGAGGAAGGTCGGATATCTGCTTTAACCAACTATGATGGGGTTGAAGCTGCTGTGGCTTGCAATGGCAGCCACACCATTCACCCTTCCCATTTTTTCGCTCACTCACAGCAGGCAGCCAAAGCTGTCGATCTCTTTGCCACTTTATGAACGCTTCCAGCAACAGAATGAAGGCAAGGCTGTGTTTAAAAGCGAAACTGCATGCCCTTTCAAATATGCACAACAGACGAAGACGAGCTAGCGTCCGACGATGTAGGCAGCGCAGACACAGTCGCGCGGTGCTTACAATGACTCTCGTTACAAATCATGCTCAGACAGAAACCAAAACCCTCGCCGAAGCACAAGAGGCCGATGCGTTGGTGGAGGACTGGTCGGCTCGTCAGGAAGTTCAGGATGTCCGTTGAAACTCATACTAAACGCAGCACGAACAAACATAGAAGCCAATTTCCACAAACTATTTTGCATGAACAGGAGGTTCTGAAACGCCACGACGAAGCTTCCGTAATAAAGCAGATTAGGAGGGATGCCAAGGAACAGCAGCACCAAATAGCTGCAGAGGCAGGTCGGTCTTATTTCTGATAGCTGCAGGGCCGGCCTTCCATTCCTCCCTTGGGCAGAACAAGAGACGGCGATGATGGAACATAACCTGGAGTGTACGTAAAACTCCTGATTCATTGCGCTGCAGTATCTCCTCATCAAAGATCTAGCTGAAAGCGACCTCGAAGAAGATGCCATCAAAAGGCAAGACAAAGAAAGGAATGCTACGCTAGATGAGGAGTTCACAGCAGAGCTAGTAAGCCTCGAGAAGCTAGATGTTCTGCATCGTCAGACCAATAGTGGAATGTATTCACGTCTGCGGCAGGAAGCTGAAAGAAGGGCAGAGACATCCATTCAAGAGGCAGCCGAAGCCGCAGAAAAAGCAGCAGCGACTGCACCGCCAGGTGCTGTCTGATTCTTGTTAGAGGCTGCTGTTAGGTGGAGCTCCCTTCGAGTGCAATGCGTGGTTCTTCTCGCTGTCGTTTCTGCATTTGGCTGCCCATACAGGCGTAGAGAGCTCAGCAGCAGTAGAAAACGGAGCAGAGACAAATTTGGAGACACCTTTAGTGAGAACTGACTGTACACATTTCGTGGTGACCTCCGCAAGCAGATCACTGACGCAATAGCAGGCGACGACATCCGGCCACGAGGGGAGCTGGATGGAGTCGCGTGATGACGTGAGTCAGATATATTGCTCGTACCTTCAACTCACGAAGCCGCTGCCTGCATGCATGCAAGAATGCATGCATACATAAACACCACAGCTGGGGACGGAATGCGGCAGACCTGAAGTGCCTTCGAAGTGCCCGGCAAGATTCTGTTTTTTCAAGCATTCAACTACAACTGTGTAGTAAAACCCCTATCTCTTTAAGAAGGTGCGGAAGCGTCTAAAGGACCTGGCGGCTGAAGAACAAACCCTCGAGGTGAAGAACAGCGCGGCCAACAACTGATTAAAGAACACAGAATATTCTGAAACTGAACAGGAGGAAGAGGCAGGACTGCTGCACCAATCCGAACATCAGGAAGAGCAGACACCCCCAGGAGAAAACGAGGTGAGCAGAGAAAAAAGAGTATCCTTGCGCCAATCGTATCAATATTCATGCCAGTCACCATTGGTGTTTTCACACTGTACTTAACCTTTTAGCGCGTTCACTTGCATCCTACCTAATAGTTCTCTCTGCACTGTAATTATTAAGTAAACATCACTTGATCCACTAGTTTCTATGTACTTGATTCCTTGTGTGCGTTCTCTGGTTCCCCTTATATCTTTGCTTGGTGTCTAGGCGTTTACACGTATTTCCTGCATGTTCTTGTGTATCGTGGTATGGTAAACTCAACATGCGAACTTCGACGAGTCAGCCTAAGTTTGATTCAAACCACATCTACTTCCACTATTCTCACATTATACGCATTTGCATATTCGTCAGGAGTTCCGTCAAGTCCTGTCGCGACAGCAGCAGCACAAGAGGCATCTCCAAAGTAAACAACTGCGTCGCCGCCACAGGGGGAACTCCGCAGCTGCTAGGCTCGCCGGACTTTAGAACCGGCAAAAGAAAACGGTTGGGTACCAGCAGCTGCTGCACCAGCAGATGCAGAAGTAGTTGCAGCAACGACGGGTGGTGGCAACTCCGGTTCGCTGGGTCCCTCTCAGCGAAACGTGCTGCCGATGGCGGCAAGCAGAAGCAGCACCAGAAGGCACTGTTGGTGTTGCTGGTGTAACTTGGCACTCTGCAGTTGCCAGTTTGTTAAGCACTGCTTCCCGCGACTTCCTGTTGCCACCCATTGCCTGCTGCGGAGTATGCTTGCTCTCATAATTCTCATAAGTACACGAATGCATGAGAAGATAGAAGGATCGACAGAGATGAATACACTTTTAAACAGCTATATGCTAGTACGTTTCTATAATAAATGTGTAAGTGTTCCAAATCTTCACGGTTACAAACGAAGATCTCCGGGAAACCGAGTAGCCAGGAAGCTGTCGCTGACTAGTTGCAAACGCCGTTGGAGTCCTGTAAAGGGCTGCGCTCAACACATTAAACAACAGCTCCCCAAGCAGATTTGTGTCTGGCGGCTAAATTGTCCCGTTTGTCTCAGTTGGATTTTGGTGCCCAAGTACATTTAAACGTGTTTATAATGTTGGGTACTGTTGGTGCTAGTCGACAACCAAATCAGTGCAGCGCAAGAAGAAAGCGTTCACAATAAATCTAATGCTCACCTCAAAGAAAGATGCCATGTCCTGGTGAATGAACTCAGAAACGTCTCCAGACGCGGACTCTAGTCCTGCCTGCAGAGGCCACAGAAGCCAGAATATCCTAATGCTAATGCAGATATGAAAATTTGTTAAATGTTGCGCGTAACCGATAACTGGGCACTCACCTCCGGTACGTAAGAGTACAAGGGCCAATCTCCAGCTCCGTCTTTGGGGCTGTGCACCATAAGAAGATAATGGGGGGTGGCCTTCAGCGCTTGAGGGTACCTAACGTACACCTGAAGATAGCAGCCGCAGCGCACTTCCTTACATCACATCCACTTTGCATGCAGATGGAAATTTGCACAGTTGCGCATTATTCGTGCTCATTATTTGTGTGTGTGTGTGTGTGTGTGTGTGTGTGTGTGTGTGTGTGTGTGTGTGTGTGTGCGTGTGTGTGTGTGTATGAATCCACGTGCATGTTCCACGCACTCTTGCACGTGTACATGTAAACAAAATGCATGCATAGACGTAACAACGCCCACTGCATATCACCAAGAAATTCAAGCTTGTAGCCTCACTCTGTCGAACCAGTCCTCAGGTGCTTTACCAGTGGCGTCCCAAGAGAGCACTACCGCAGTGTACTGCCACCAGCGATGTCTGACAAAAATGCAGGAAACAGAAAAGGAACAGGCGGCAGAACAAACGATTACACCGAGAAAAGGGTCTCGCCGGTCTCATCTGGGAAGGAGAGCAACAAACAGAAATCAATCTGCGCTCCAAAGATACTAAACATGAAGATGCAAGACCCCTGTATAGAGGAGATACATACCTCACGAATTCCCCAATGTGGAATCGCGGCTCCTCCACCGATATTCGTCTACGCACGTCCGAATTTAAACCGAAAAACGAACTTGCGCTGCATTCACAGGCCAGCAGATTGTACCCGCATGTTGGCCATATATATTGCATGTGCATGTATGCTTCCACGTTTCTATGCAATCATCTGAATGACATCCTACCCGTCTGGCAGAGATTTTATCATCTCTTCGGGTACCGCCTCCAGCTTTGCATTGACGGGGTGTTTGGACCTCTGGAGCTTCTCTTTGTTTGCAGTCTAAACAGGACACCCAACGCTCAATCCGCTATTCTTCATTGCACAACCGTTTGCAGCATCATGTTGCATCGGACGCACCCGATGCAAACCCCCGGCTACAGGGCTCTCAAGCGGATGCCGTCTCCTACCACACCTACGCAGATGCGCTAATAAACTAACTAAAGTGGGTGTCGACACGGGGGAAAACGTTTGCACACACGTTATCGCTGGAGCAAGAGGGGGGGGAGGGGGGAAGGGAGATACAGGCAAGCTTACAAACAGAGCAACAACCTATGAACTCACATTGCCTGTGTCATCGTCTGTCTCGTCTAAACCCTTCCAGCTAGCCGGGACCGGGTTGTATACAAAAGGGTCTCCGACGGGGTACCCGAGGACTGCCTGCCGACAAAGCATGCACCAGTAAGCCGCAAGCCCACAGCCTCTCCTTCCAAGCAATATTCATCTCCACTCAAGTGTTTTGGTATTCACATGCACACCGAAGCCCACCTGGGCATCCAGAGGTCGCGGGGGAAGCAGTTGGGGATGCGGGCAGACGAGAGGTGTTTGAATGAGGAGTTCGTAAGTGCAGAAGGAAGTCTGCACAGAAAACAGTAGCAGATACTCCACCACCGAATGACAACTACAGCTAAATGGACAAATAAAACAGTAGCAGATATTCCACCACCGAATGACAACTACAGCTAAATGGACAGACAAATAAACATTAAACCCTCCACAGCTACTAGAGGCATGACACGCTGTGACCACTCCCGTCGTAACTGTCACTCTGCTTGCAAGCCGTCCTATACAAATTTATACAATTATACAAATTTATAGATGTATACAATGAAGGAAATGTCAAGGGTCACTAACCTCCTCGATGTGGACGATGCGGTGGCTGGCGAGAACGGGGAAGTCCACAGGGCACTCAAAAAGAACCCGTGTGCTGCGCTGCACGTCTGTGCCTTCACATACAGTTCCCTGACAACACACCAACAGCCAACAAGCAGCTTTCTATTCTAAGATCGTTGTTATGTGACCTATCTGACGACGTCGCGCCTGCCCATGAGCGATCCACAGTATGTCCTACGTTCGTCAGTTGCATTGCCAAGACCTTATTCGAGGCGGGAATTGGACTCTTGGAGAATTGCTTCGGTCTCTCGATGATCTCCACAGGCAAAAACTTGAAGCGAGGAGCCCCGTTTGCTTTGGGGGGCAGACTGTCTGCGCCCCGAAGCGTCGGGTTTGCCGGGTTTGGGCGCTTAAACATCATTTCCGCCCCATCGCCATACGTATGCAGCATACCCAAAAGATGCATCGGGCCCGTAATATCCCCTGAAGACAAGCCCAATCAGCACCAAAAGAAGCCCAATACAGTTTTGGGCTATCTTTTACCAGATATGATCCCACAACGCGTCGTTTTGATGTTAGATGCTCCACTTCATACGCATACGCCCCAAAGGGTGTCCTACCGTTTGGCTCTTTGTGAAACTCTACCAAACTATCAGGGTGACAGTATTCGTACGACCACCAGTCGTCGGTCGTGAAAGTTGAGCACCAACCCTCAAGGCTTCGAATTAGCGCCTCGGTTAAGGGCTGAAGAAGAAACACAAATGCATTCTAAGACTTGAAAAGCGTTATACAGATACCTTGGAACGAGGTCTGACGGGAGACAACGAAGCGGCAAAACACTCCAACTAATCCAAAGAATCGCCTCACGGGATTCGGCGCGCTCTCCCGGTAATCGCAAAACATGGGTGCCTCCAACCACACGCGATACTTTCCGTCATGCGGCCCGGAAATGCCTTTCACCCGTGGATGCGTATCGCCACACACAAAACGAACTTCCGTCCGACGTCCGTCGGTGCCCCCCGTGTACCACTGCAACAAACACCCAAACCAGCACAAACACGAGCTGTCAAAATTACAAGTTCCTGAGTCGCAAGAGACAACAGTCATGCTGTAGAAGGAAAACATAATATCAGCACGGGCGACATCTAGTCTAGTTGGAAATATCTGCGTAACATTAAGCGACTTGAGAGTGTATTGCAAATGGTGTTGCACGATATAATAAGTCATGCGAAAATTGCACTTATTGCCTACTTGTGTCATCGTGCCGTCGGCCCATAGCTGATCCATAGAAGAGGCGTATGTACCCAACTCAAATAAACTCTTTCCAACGGTCTTTCCTGACAAAGCATTGCTCTTGAAATACGTTATCTTTCTCCTAAAATACATATTACAGAGACCGCCTATACACCTGCGTGTGCGGGTACGTGTGCTTGCGTGTGTGTGTGTGTGTTTGTGTGTGTGTGTGTGTGTGTGTGTGTGTGTGTGTGTGTGTGTGTGTGTGTGTGTGTGTGTGTGTGTGTGCGTGTGTAGATTGGCAGGGCCAACAACAAAGTCGTGGACGCATAGAAAAAGGACAAAATGCACGCTTGTGCGTACAGCCAATAAATAAAATGCTACAGTGGAGGAGAGGAGGGGTAAAGCAAACAATGAAGGAGAGCATCTTGTACCCAATGCAAAGTTCATATCGCCAGTCTTTCACCCCAACATCAGAAAAACGGAAACATCTATCCAGTAGCCACCGCAGTCTCGCTGCCCGCAAGTAACTCTGAAGCTCTGGGCTTCCCACGTGAAGTTCCTTCGACAGGCGAGTGGGCAAACTGCACTCCTCTTTGTCTTGTTGATTTTCTTCAGGGGACTCAGGTTCAATTAGTACTTTTTCCGGATCCTCATCCGGCGAGTCTAACAGAAACTGCTGCAGTCTATCCAACATTTGTAACCCTGTGGACGATCGCCGAGGAAGCAAACAGGCGACGTCACGATCTGCGAGCGTTATATGGACGAGTTGCTGACGAGCACATGTCGGGATGTCAATGTCGTCCAACTGGCGCGAGAAATCAATTTGCACAACACTGTTTGGGTTGTCAGCCGATTTATGGTTCTCTGCCTGTGGTCTTGCTGACGTTGCACTAGCTGTTATTGACGCTGGTGCGGCATTCAGGAAACGGAAGCAGAGCAGCAAGAAGCCGACTGTTCCCCAACAGACTCCCATTGTCGTGGGTTGCGATCAGCACCTTCAAAACGCGTGGGGCAGCCCTCTTGTCAAAAAACGTGCCAAATGCACTAAACGTGCAGATCACAGGGAAGCTCGTCGCCTATCTGAGGCCGGCAGCCGAGGCCACGGCCGGCTGGGTGAGCAACATGCTGGTTACTTGAAGGACTTCCACAGACAGGCTGGGGCTTCAACGACGCCAGGCAGTGTCCCTGATGTTATATTTTGCTGCAAATACTATAGTGTTATTTGGACTGGAAGACGGAGTGGCAGAGCCCTGTTCAGTAATTCAAGACGACGCGAACAGGTGAAATAACTAAGCCCGCACGCCGCGCCTGGGAGGGTGAATGGGATGGGTCGTATGGATGCTAAATGTAATGTGCTAATAATTATTATTTCACGATATTGTGGAGGTGGAGCCGTATTGGACTCCGTCCAGGCGATGGCTCTTCCCACCCCAGCTTGCATGCGGGGGGCCACCGCCTGGCGTGGTGAAACGGGGGAGGGTAATGGATATGTTTAGGGTATTTTTGAGGTCGTATTGTAGCGAATGTAACTGCACCCCTTTACAAACTGTGAGCGAAGAAGCTAGCTAATTTATTCCAGTCTTCAGCAGTTCATACAAAAAATAGGCCTCTGCAAATGAACTACGAAAACTGCCAGACCAGCGGCTTGCGCACGGCACAAGCCATTGCATGCATGAAGGTAATTGGATCAAACTATCATAAGCGTCATTTCGAAGAGTTTTTCGGGGCGTTTTAAGGTGGTCTGTAAGTAGGTTCGCCTAATAAGTACTTTTTTGGGAAACTGTAGGTGTGAGTGCTAGCCTCGAGAGTGTCTTCACCTCAAGCGGCTGAAACGGCGTGATCAGATGCGTACGATTCCGTTGGGTGGAGGCTACCAGGCATCTTCATTGAATGTTTTAAAATTTTAGCGTGTCAACAAAGTGTAATTTCTGGTCGATAGAGCTCGACATGTACACATCTCCCCTCTGCCGGTCCCCGCCCAGCAGCTGTCTCACCATACCATCATCCTAATTTCTGGCAGACTAGGGCATTCCAAACCTTTTCTGTACGTGTATTTGACCACGGAGAGTTTCCGTTTTCAGTTGAAGGAAACCTGCTGCCCGACATCAGTTGTGGCAGACACCAGGTGCTTCGCAGGACGACAGGGGTATTGCAAACGGGAGTCGCACTGAGAGGAGCGAGCAAACGTTAATTGTTGATTCTTTGACTCTTGATTTGCAACAGATTTGCGACTATAGGTGCTATTACCGCAGGATCGGCAACAACATCGACGCCAGTGGCAGCAGGGGCAGGCGCTCAGTCCATGGACCTCTTGAACCGAAGATGCCCACCTCCAACAGGCTTTCGCCTCGACAGGAAGAATCGAGCGCCTCTCGTAGCCTCACGAGCAGTAGTTATTCCTTCAGTCTTAGCGGCAGTTACAGCAGCGGCAACAGCAGCCGAAGTTCCACGTCTTCCGCGCCTGCATCTGTTGATGGCGTTCTGAATCCCGGCGTTGATGAGACTCCCCAGAGGAGGCCATATGTGCCGCCTAAGGTCCTGCGCACTAAAAATGTTCCCCCTGGAAAGCGGCCGCTGCCAAAACGCACTCCTTTTCCCAACGGTGCTAGTGATGGCCTTTCTGCTGGTACTGCAGGCCGTGGCGGCGTTGCTGGACCACTGGAACCTAAGGTGGATCCCGCCCCCTCTAGAAAGGATCAACTAGCTGCCCTTCAGTCACAGCTGTTGATGTCCCGGGCGGCAATAGGACAGAGGTGGAAGGAGGCGCTGCGTAGCGCCGAGTCTTCAGCTTTTTCCCACGATTCCGAGATAGATGAATTGGAAGACTTGGATTCATCTGAAGGCTCTGAAGCTGCCACTCCTGCATCAACAGAAAAAGGGGTAATAAGGAAGGAAGCGGACGATGGCATCTCTTCCGTAGGCAGCTCCCTCACCGCCAGCGCTGCACGGCAGGACCTGCTCCAACTCCTGCAGAGGGAGATGTCCAGCAGCAGTTCCGATCTTTTGAACGAAGACGGCAGCCAGATTCTTAATCTGACCGCCTCAGACTTCATCGATGACTTGAAGGCCGATTTCGCCCCGCACGAAAGCGGCGAAATCCGGCCGTCTAGTCCTGTTGAGGAAACTATCATGCCCCGCCCTCTTAGAAAGATGAAGCTTCGCCTCTTCCAAGAAGATCACCCCGCGAGTTCATCGTCATCTGATGGAGGTTCGGATGAGTCGGTGGCCTCCGTTCGCTGGCGCCAAATGCCTTCGAGAGAAACCTCAGTCCCAGGCGAACTCGACGAGGATCTGCATGATTCATATGATGACGCAACGGCGGGCGAAGACGAGGAATCGGAAGAAGAGGAAGAAGGAGAAGAAGAAGAAGAAGAAGACGAAGAAGAAGAAGAAGAAGAAGAAGAAGAAGAAGACGAAGAAGAAGAAGAAGAGGGGGAAAGTGATGACGAGAAACCCAGCGTCAGCCTGCCACAGGACGGAAAGGGGGCAGGAGGAACCTATACCAACGAAGACATCGATGGAGAAGGGGACATAGAGGAGGAGAGAACGGAGCAGGATGCCGCTTTGGAGTTGACGGCGCCAGCAGAAGATGAGCCTCAAATGATATGGGAATTTGAGGAACAAGAGGACAAGCTGCAGCCTCCACAACCCAAAAAGACAATTGTCGTTAGGCGGCCGATGAAGGCTGCAGACATGGAAGTTGAGGAACGGTTGGAGGTCGACGCATGTCAGGAGGACTTTGACCGTCGGGAGGTGAGCCCTGTACTAGGTCTGCTGATGTTGTTTTCTACTACTGCTGCTGTTGATGACTGAGCCAAATCCCCTGTGGCGACGTCGGCTTCCTGACTCTGCGATAGCGTTCTGCGCGTTAAATTGCATTTATTTGTGGTCGTAAATCTCTCTGTGAGTGTGTCTACATCGTTGCCTTTTGAAACCATACATGCCGATTTAGTTACTTGCTCATGCTACATTTTGTCTGTGGTGCGTTCATGGTGTTAAGAGTACGCGTGCTGATGCGTTACGCTGAAACGGAAGCCCATGTAATTTTGTGTTCTGTTGTTGGGAATATTGTGTGTAGATGGCCGACCGCATTATTTACGAATACACGGACGACCCGCTGACTCCGCAAATGGAACGGCTTAAAGCAGAACGAGTAAAGCTTGCCGAATGGGCGCGGCACCTGCGCGGCGGCAAAACGTTTAAGGAGGGCGAGAGGCCGGCGGTAAGGACGCCCCAACAAATGGAGTCTTCTTGCTTGCATTCGTAGAAGAGGTACCATCAACAGTGCCACTGTCTTTTGTTGGACGTATACAATGTAGGTTGATGTGGGCGTTGGGCTCTGCCTGTTGAGTACGTGGAAGCGTGTTTGGGTCCGCTGAAGCTGATGGTTGAATAGAATGTTGTGTTTATTCATGCACACATGCGGCTTTGATATATGGTTTGCTGTGCAGGGGTACAGACCTCCGCTGATGCGACAGCCGGTGTTGCGAGGTGTGGGAATGACCTTCCCTCAAACTGTAGTGGACAGGCCGTTGACGGAGGATCTGGAGCCGCGGGGAGAAGGCATTGAAGAGCGGTTGATGCAGAGGGCGCTGCTGCCCAGTACGAAAGTGTGGCAGATGGAGCAGCGGGCGAAGCGCCTGCAACAGCAGACGGCGCAACAGCGACAGCAACTTGAGCTTCTGCAGGCGGCACTACGCAAGAAGATCGAAGCAAACACGAACCCAGCTGGATCAACGGCTGAAGCAGATTCTTCGGGAGCACGCAGCACAACAGAAGCAACAGAGGCAACAGATGGCCTTTCACCTCGGTCGGTTGAACTCAAGTTGTATGAACAGCAATGTGTCTATTTGGGGTCGCAGCTAGAAGAGGAGCATGAGTTCTGTGAAGCCTACAGAGCCGAGCTGGGGCGTGTAGTCCTTAACAATATGGCCTTGAAGAAGCAGCATGAAGACGCAATGGAGGCCCTCAAACAGCGCGAGGCAGCCGAGTGAGTACTGCTGCACTGAGCCGGGGGGCAAAAGCACTAGCAAGTTTGCAGACAGGCAGAGCCCTCATAGAGCACTCACCATTGCATCACGCACCCTCGAACATTTGTTGTGACTACATGAATTTGGGCGGGTGCTGACTGGCGAGCGCAGGCGTAAGGAACGGGCCGAGCACTTGCAGGCAGAGGAGCAGTTGAGGGATCTGCAGGATAGGATAGAGGCGGAGACAAACAAAAGCCTGATTGAAAGGAGCTGCCGGCAGCAGCGGGACCAGCAAGCGACGATGCTCCAACAACGCTACTCGCAGCTGTTACACTACTTGCAGGAGGCAGAGGAGAAGAGGAGCTCCTTTGAAGACGGTCTTCGTGTTGCCCAGAGCAGAGCGCAGAAAGCTGAGGCCCTTCTGCAAACCAAAGAGGCCGAACTTGCTTACGCTCGACGCTGCCTGGAAACTCTAGACGTGCAAATGCTCGTGCGCCACCAAAACATACCCTCATTTCCCTTGTCACCTGGGGCTTCTTGTTGATTTGTTTAGTTGCAGCGCCTTTTTTGTGCGGATGGGAAGGAGATGCGGAGGTGCTGTTACTTGGCATAGGTGCATGACGGGATAGGATGGTTACGGGTTTTTCTGCCATAAATGTTCTTGGAGCTGTCAGTGTAGGCACAGTGGCCAGGTGCGGTTTTGTTGTCGTGTAGGAGAAGGAAGTGCAGCGCCGCAAAGAAAGGGACAGAGCAAACGCTGCAGAGCGGCAAGTGGAGGATTTGAGAGTATCGCTGGCTGCGAAAGAACAGGAAATATCTGAGCTAATAAAAAGCTCAAAAGGCAGCGCAACCCTGCTGGAAAAAGAGCAGCAAGAGCATCTCAAGACCCGCGAGGCCTTAGCAGCAGCACAAGCTGCAATGAAGCACCAAACCTCCGAGGCCCAATCGCCGCATATGCAGAAGCACACGCTGGATTCCCTACGAAAGCTTGCTAGGGATTTTGAAGCCATTTCAGCTGAGGCAGAAGAAGAGGAACACGATCTGGAAATCTGGCACAAGGAGGTAGAAGAGAGGAGAGCCAAAGCACTTTCCATCCTTGAGGCAGCAGAACGGTCGGCCATTGCCGTCTTCTCCAAGCTCGATCAAGGAGCCGCTGATGCTTCCGCTGTCAGCGAACTGTCCCAACAAGTTCGTTCCAGCAGCAGATGCTGCGGTGCTGGAAGGGAGCAGAAGGTCCCTGCTGAATGAAAGAGTTCACTGATCGTGCACCTGTTCATTTTCGCTTCCAGCGCTTATGCACGTGTGCGTGTTAGTTGCGGACTGTATGCTCAGATGGAGGCTCTCAGGCAGGCGCGGCAGGAGGAGGTGGCAATGCTAGAACACGAATTTGAAAAGGCGGGGAAACAGCGGAAGAAGCTCGAATCTGAGTTACAGCAGCGGGAGGAAGAGACGGCTGAGCTTCGGCATCAGATTGCCTCCCTTACCCGTAAATTACAACGCCAGGCACAGAAAAATAGAAGGATAGCCAGGAGGGTCATACGGTCCGCGTCCGCTTTCGGCAGAAGTAGCAGACGCACTGTGTGCCAGGAACTCCGCACAATGCGTGTTGGAGGGGTTGTCGAAATGCTAACAAAATCCACCAACCGCAGGCCTGAACCTCGTTACGTTAAGGTGGGGTCGCGCTACACATTGTTTATGCTGCTACGGGTGTTGAGAGGCGTTGGTGTACCCTTTGGCAACCCTCTGCAGACTTAACGGCACAGAGCTTGTGAACTTCAAATGGACATATTTGCTGAGCAGCCTCTGGATGCCAAATTAAGAGAGGCAAGAGCCTCTCTCTGCTTGCAGTTTCGCGTTGCATCAGATGCACAAGTTACTCTGTTTTCGGCAAGGCTATCTTCGTTAATTGCTTGCAGTGTCCTTCGCAGGGCAATCATACGGAGTGTTTTCGTTTGAATGCGTGCGCAGATGTTCAAGCGAGGAGTAGTAATGTGGAGCGAAGATCTGGAAGGCAGGAGGGGCTTCAAAAAATCAGACCAGTTCGCCGTATCAGTGCGCTGCGGTCTATGCATTGCAGCCCCCTTTCAGCTTATTCCCCATTGGCTACTGACAACGAACGAATGCATTGATACAAAAACGCTTGTTGTGCATTGGTTCTTGTTTTGTCCCCCTTCGCAGGATATCATTGGTATTGACTTCGGCACCTCCAGCTCTGCCTTTCTGTGGAGTCTTCAAGCAGTCAAAGGAGGGAAGGGCTCAGCTTCCGAGTTTTCATATCCTTGGCGGTGCTTTACAGTTCGGACACTGAAAGACACCTATGAATTCCGCGCCAAGTCAGACGAAGTCGCTCAGGAGTAAGGCATGCCCATAGCCTTACACACCATGTTATCTATTTTCATTAGTATCTCAGATTCTTCTGAAATATATATATATATATATATATATATATTATAT